GATTTGATTATGCCGAAAAAAAATCCTGCAAGTCTTGTATGCCTTTTCTGGTACCTAAAAAGAAAGCACAAGAGATTTAACTGCGCTAAGATAAACACAAGCCGGCCTCAAGCGAGAAGATATTGTCGGATCGTTTGCCAACTCCCAAGCTGTATTTGTCTGAATGTGAAATACTTTATTACGAAAATGTTTTGACGAAGCTCTGTACTGGCCCCGGGGATAATTTCTTTCTTAAAGGGAAATTCTGTAAAATCGACGTAGAACTGTATAGCATCATTACTTTTTTCTGTTGCAAGATGTTAAGAAAATTTGTAGAAATATTTTGAAGTTTACACAGCTATATACAGCTAGCATGAATACACAAGTCATCGTGACCGAGAATATGAGGGTACAGGCGCAGTTTAAAAAATGTTGCTCACGTCAGATTATGTGCTCTCTCTCTCTCTCATAAACAACAGATGAACTCTGTGTATGTTAAAGAAACACAAATGTACCTGAGCTGGTGTCTGCAATAGGGACTAGCTAGCAACGGTACAATCGGAAACGAGAAGCCATTATCTTATTATAAGTGTTCTAGACCACCACTTAGTTCGCACGACAATTACGATCTGTTGATCCCTCATAAATAATGGACTATTCCGTTTTGATCACGTGGAAAGAGGAGAAACGACACGACTTGATTTTAGTGAGAAAATAAAAGAAAGAAAGAAAGAAAGAAAGATAGAAGTGAAGAGAGAGAATCACACTAAGCTAATAAGAACAGAAACTACACGTTGATCTTATCTCTATCTATAAAAGACAGGATGTCTGTGTGTAACGAATGCACGGCCGCAGTTTTCGACGGATTTGCACCAAAATTTACATGCACATGCTCCAAGTTAACGGAAACGCCAAGACCGACATTGCATTTCCCAACTCCCATCGATAGTGGAAATAATCGATTTTTTCATGCTTCTACGGCAGTTTTCATGTAGTTTGCAGCCATTTTCTACTGGCCAGAATGAGAGCCTATAGCTGGCTGCCACGATTAGGCAGGAAGTTTCTATTGGCCAGCTTGAGAGTCAACAGCTGACTGACACAAATGATAACTAGCATGCTAGCATGCAAAAAAAATCGATAGCTGCATTCGTCACACGTGGAAAAAATTTAAATCTGCATGGCACTTTACTCCAATTGGCTCATTCGCTTGCTTAAACTCAACGTTGATTCTGATTCCGCAGAACTGAGTTGGGTGTGAAAAAGTTGTTAACATTTTTTTTTCATTCGGTTTTTCCAGTTACAAGTCCTTTTTTTAAAGCTGATCGTTTTGTGTTCATTTTGTTTAGTTCTTTTTTCATAACAGATTTAATGTTTAGTATAGAGCTTAGAAAAAATTCGCAGTGTGAGATAGGCAAGAAGTAAGGCATGTAGCAACATCAGCACGGCAAAGGGCACTCCTTTAAAGTCAAGGAAGAGCAAAAATATTTTAAGTCAAGTGATAGCGATTGCTGTATGAGTCGTAAGATTTTTGACTCAAGCACGGGCAACGCCGGGTCATGCTGCTAGTTATTTATATTCACCAAAATGTACAAAATTTGCCCTAAGTGCTAAAATAATGTCGGTGGCAAAGACTGCTATTCTCTTTTTATTATTGTTACATTTCTGTACACATTTCTTTCCGGATCCCGCCCAGAGACCTAAGGTTAGAAATGGCATCATGACATTTTCCACTTTGCATGAATAAAGCCCTTCGTAAAGTGTCGGTTGTACTTGTGAGAACATTTTTTTGTATTTGAAGCATGGGTTTCCAGAAATTATTATTATTATTATTATTATTATTATTATTTCCTTTGATTTCTGTTAAATACGCATTCCCTTCTAGGGAACTAGGTTCTGCAATGATTTCATGACATTTTCCACTGATCATTTTAGTAAAAGATCATCCATATTTCCACTTCATGGTCCTTGTATTTTGATAGTTTTCTGGAGAACTTCAAAGATATTATTACAATCTGCAGGGTCTGCCAAGTCAATAAGAAAGTTTATTCTGTTTTTGTGGTCTTTAATCAGATATCTGGACGAAAAGTCCCATAAAATTGTTACTTGTCTGTAACCGGGTCTAGGTGAGCTTCATACCAGTTTCTTTCAGTTTTCGTTCCTGTAAAAGTTGCAGATTTTCCAGTGTTGATATTGGCCCACTCTATCATACTGTGTTTTCACTGTACAACCTGATACAAGGTGGTCAACTGTTTCTGGATATTTATCAATGAATTTGCATTTCGGTTTACGATAATTTTTCATTATGTTTGCTTGGTAATTTCGTTCTATGCAGCAAGAATGAATTCTTGGGTGTCAGCTTTTAACACTGCACTACGTAATCCTTGATGGGTACGGAGTTTGTCTACATCATTTTGTTTGGTACGGGCAGAGTATTTACTATGAAGATGTTTATTTTGCCATTGTTTTTGCATTTGGTACATTGCATTTGCTTTTTTTTCTTTTAGTTCTTTGACGCTTCAGACGGTTTACCTGCACTTCTTCCCCTACTTGAAATTTCCTTTTAAATTTGTTGGCTTCCTTTATTACTGAATAAAATTTCTTATTTCTTTCATATTCTTTGACGCAGATCATCATCCAGTTTGAAGAAGAAGAAGAAGAAGAAGAAGAAGAAGAAGAAGAAGAAGAAGAAGAAGGCTTCTGCAGTTTCTAGGTATCTTTGAAAACGGGTTGTTGGCGTTTTGTAAGACAGTTCTAGTTGAACTAATCCTCTGCCTCCTTCGGATCTGGATAGATACATCAGTCTGAGGATGATACATGCGGTGGTAAATAAAATTCCCCCCACTTGAAATTCCTTTGTTGGCTTCAATTATTACTGAATAAAGTTTCTTCTTTTTTTAAAAAAAAAAATTTCGAGATTCAAAAAACAAAAAAGTGAATATTTTCACGTCAAGGACTGGGGTAATAGTAAGGAAACATGCATTACTTAGAGATACAAAAGATGGGAAGTTGTGAAGGGCTATGATCACCTAACTAATAAGCTTGTGTAAATAGGTACCAGACAAGGGACTGGAAGCGATGGTAAGTGCACAAACATTGCTTAGAGCTAAATTTGATAGGAAGTTGTGGGGAGCCATGATCGCTCGCGCCCTGAAAGCAAAGGCCACATAAAAGCAGATGCGATTAAATTTTTGCTGCCAGATCGATGTTTGTTCCTGATTCTTCGCAGACAAAAGATGGCTAAGTTAATAGCCATATATCCTGACATCGAACAAGTAGTCTTAGATGTGTTAGCCATGTATGATAGACGCTTAGGCGATCATGTATCTTTTAATACATGACAGACGAGGCAGATTTTTTTCCCGCAGTAGATTGCCATTTCTTTCTGCAGTAGACCAGTTGCCATCCAAGGCTATACAACCCGTACTGTCCTAATCTTTACCCATAGCTGGTGGTGGTGGTGGGGAGAAGATGTTTCATACCTTTCCTAAGGGTATTAGCACGTACGTGAATGTAATGGATTCGACTGGAATTCGAACTCGGCTATCCGATTCAGTTATGTGCCATGCGTGATACACGCTTAGGCGATCACATATCTTTCAATACATGACTGACGAGGCAGATTTTTCCCGCAGTAGGTTGCTATTTCTTTCTGTCGTAGACCAGTCGCCATCCAAAGCTATAGAACCCAGTCTGTTCTGCTATTTATCCATTGCAGGATTGAAGACGATTCATACCTTTCCCAAGGATATTAGCACGCAAGTGAATGTAATTCATTCGACGGGACAAGTATCCGTGTCGAATGTAACATAAAGAATAATAACGCCTTATCACAGAAATTCAGAAAATAAATCAACATTATAAAATAAACATTATTTATGCAACATCGATTTTATATTGAAAAAAATTCGCTCTGAGATACAGAATTTGATTTCATCATTGATGTCTGATAATCAGTTATGTGCCATGCGTGATAAAAAGCTTAAGCGATCATGTATCTTTTGATACATGACTGACGAGGCAGATTTTTTTCCCGCTGTAGGCTACCATTTCTTTCTGCGGTAGACCAGTTGCTATGCAAGGCTATAGAACCCGGTCTGTTTTGCTATTTACCCATAGGGAAGGAGGAGGAAGAGAAGAGCATTCATACCTTTCCCAAGGGTATTAGTACGTAGGTGAATGTAATGGATTCGAGTGGAATTCGAACTCGGCTCTCTGATAATAACAACACAAAAATAAGTACAAATTTCCGTGTCGAATGTAATATAAACAATGATAACGCTTCCTCACAGAAATTCATAAAAAATTCAATAATTAACAATATTTGGAGAAACAAATAAACATCATTTATGCAACATCGATTTTATATTGAAAGAAATTCGCTCTGAAATACAGAATTTGATTTCATAATTGATGTCTGATAATCACTGATGTGCCTTGCGTGATACACGATTAGGCGATCATGTATCTTTCGATACATGACTGACGAGGCAAATTTTTTTCCCGCAGTAGGTTGCCATTTCTTTCTACGGTAGACCAGCTGCTATCCAAGGCTATAGAATCTGGTCTGTCCTGGTATTTACCCATATCTGGGGGCAGGGAGAAGAAAAGGATTTATACCTTTTCTAAGGGTATTAGCACGTAAGTAAATGTAATGGATTTGACTGGAATTCGAACTCGGCTCTCCGATTCAGTTATGTGCCATGCGTGATACACGCTTAGGCACATGCTTCGATACATGACTGATGAGGCAGATTTTTTTTTCCCGCAGTAGGTTGCCATTTCTTTCTGCGGTAGACCAGCTGCCATCCAAGGCTATAGAATCTGGTCTTTCCCGCTATTTACCCATAGCTCGGTGTGGGAAGAGGAAGAGGATTCATACCTTTCCCAAGGTATGAATTCACGTAACTGAATGTAATGGATTCGACAGAAATTCGAACTCGGCTCACCGATTTCTCAATCCGAGTAAGGACATGCTATTCAGATAACAAAGTGTGAACATTGGCCAAGCTCAAAAGTCAGACATGAAAAACCTTTTAACTCCCGACGCTCACTTTTGGAGCAAGCGTTTGTAACAAACCTGCCAACACCTTTGCCCTAACTTCCCCGCCGTTCGAATTATTGACGTTTAACTGAGCGAGACCAGTTCTGTATTGTTCTGGTGTAGTGTTAATAGACGAAATACTTGCAAGCCAGTCAAATCTATCCGCACGGAACAGCTGAACAGGTTTCTCTTTAACAAAACCATTGTTATTTTTCCTTTCGCATTTACTTTCATATATCCGAAATATGTCATTGTAAATGGTTTTATTCAAAAGATATATGCAGGGCATATAGGTCTCCGCCCAGGTAAGACACAGACTTAGTGAACCAATTTAAGAGTGGGTTCTAATTGAGTGTTACCTGTATATTTTATTCGGTCATTTGCGTCTTTTGTTGTACCTCGTTTAGATATTTATTTATTTTTTTTTTTTTGCTTTGAGGTCATTTTTCTTCGGGTTTATTTATTTTTTTTTTGTAATTTTTTTTTTTTCTTTCGTTTTATTCCGCCCTTTTCTTCGTTCCGAGTTTTCAAATGATGTCAGTTTGAAATCAACGATGGGTAGCGCATCTTGATGTTTTACAGAATGAAAGAGAAGACTGGCGGTTTTAGATCGTGCCGGGACGGTGTCTCGCTTAAAAATGTCTCACTTTCGCGAAGGAAATATTTCATCTCAAAACAGCAACGGATTTGGCTTCTCCATCTCTCTCTCTTCCTCTCACTCTCTCTCTAGCTAAAGCTATCACTGTCCCTCAATATCTCACTCCATGGGTCGCTCTTCATCTCTCTCTCTCTTAATCTTTCTCCGTCCATCTCTCACTCTCTCTGCGCATCATTGATTTTTCTGATTTTTTTTCTTATATACTTGTTGTTGTTGTTGTTCTTCTTCTTTTTTCGTCTTCTTCTCCTCTTTCGCCAAGCTTTCATTTAATTACCTTCTTCTTCTTTTTCTTATTGTTCTTCTTTCTTTCTTTCTTTCTTTCTAATTCCCTTCTTTCTTTCTTATTTCCTTCTATTTCTTTCGTTTTAATTGTCGTCTTCTTTCTCTCATTCTTTCTTTCTTATTTCTTTTTTGTTCTTTCTTTCTTTTTTTCTTTCTTTGCTTATTTATGATTTACCTGCTTTTCTGCTTTACTTTTTACATACTTTCTTTCTTTCGTTCCTGCTTTTTATTTACCTTTTCTTTTCTTCATTTCTTTTTCATTCATTCGTTCATTCATCCATTCATTATTTCTATCTTGCCTTCTTTTTCCTCTTTAGTTTCATGCTTCTTCTTCTTCATCTTTTTCTTCTTCATTTTCGTCTTTCTTTCTGTCTTTCTGTCTTTCTGTCTTCTTTCTTTTTAATTCCCTTCTTCTTCCTCTCATTCTTTCTTTGCCATTGCTCTTTTTCTTTCTTTCTGTCTTTCCTTCTTTCTTTCTTTCTTTCTTTTCTTATTTTTGATTTACCTACTTTTGTGATTTTCATTTTTCATTCCTTCGTTCAATCATTTTCTTTCTTTCATATTTCCTTTATTCTTGTCTTCATTTCTTTTTCATTCATTTATTCTTTTTATCTTTCTTTCTTTCTTGGCTTCTTTTTATTCTTCCTTTGTTTTTTTACTTTCTCATTACCGTTTCTCTTTTATTTTGTTTTCAAATTTTCATTCATTCTTTATTTCATTTTTTCGCTGTTTAATATTCTTCTTCCTGCTTCATTGATTCTATGTTTTTCATTCCCCATCTTCTTCTACTATTTTCTATCTTCCTTCTTTCTTTCCTTCTTTCATTTAGTTCACGTCTTCTTTCTCTCATTCTTTATTTCACATTTCTTTTTCATTCATTCAATTATTCATTATTTCTGTTTTATTTTTTTTTTTTTAGTTTCTTGCTTCCTGTTTTATTAATCATTTGTTTCTCATGACCTTCTTCTTTTTACTTCTTTCTTTCTTTCTTTTTTCCGTTCTTTTAATTACATTCTCCTTTCTCTCATTCTTTCTTTCTATTTTTCCTCCTTTCTTTCTTTCTTTCTTTCTTTTAATTACTTTCTCCTTTTCTCATTCTTTTTTTTTCCTTCTTTCCTTTTCTTTCTTTTAATTATATTCTTTCTTTCTTTCCTTTTTTTCCGTTCTTTCTTTCTCCTTTCTCCTTCTTTTTTTTCCTTCTTTTCCTTCTTTCTTTTTTTAATTACATTCTCCTTTCTCTCATTCTTTTCTTTTTTCCTTCTTTCCTTTTCTTTTTTTTTTACATTCTCCTTTCTCTCATTCTTTTCTTTCTAATTTTCCTTCTTTCTTTCTTTCTTTTAATTACATTCTCCTTTCTCTCCTTCTTTCCTTCTTTCCTTCTTTCTTTCTTTCTTTCTTTTAATTTTCTCCTTCTTTTTTCTTTCTTTTTCTTTTAATTACATTCTCCTTTCTCTCATTCTTTCTTTCTCATTTTCCTTTTTCTTTTTTTTTTTTTTTAATTATTTCCTTTCTCTCATTCTTTCCTCATTTTTTTTCCTTCTTTCTTTCTTTTTTAATTACATTCTCCTTTCTCTCATTCTTTCTTTCTCATTTTCCTTCTTTCTTTTCTTTTTTCTTTTTTTAATTACATTCTTCTTTCTCTCATTCTTTCTTTCTCATTTTCCTTCTTTCCTTTTCTTTCTTTCTTTTTAATTACTTTCCTTTCTTTTCTTTCTTTCTTTTTCCTTTTTCCTTCTTTCTTTCTTTTAATTACATTCTCCTTTCTCTCATTCTTTCTTTCTCATTTTCCTTCTTTCCTTCCTTCTTTCTTTCTTTTAATTACATTCTCCTTTCTCTCATTCTTTCTTTCTCATTTTCCTTCTTTCCTTCCTTCTTTCTTTCTTTTAATTACATTCTTCTTTCTCTCATTCTTTCTTTCTAATTTTCCTTCTTTCCTTCTTTTTTTTTTACATTCTTTTCTTTCTTTCTTTTTAATTTCCTTCTTTCTTTTAATTACTCTCTTTCTTTTTTTTCTTTTTTTTCTTTCCTTCCTTCTTTTTTCTTTTAATTACATTCTCCTTTCTCTCATTCTTTCTTTCTTTTTCCTTCTTTCTTCCTTCATTCTTTCTTTTAATTACATTCTCCTTTCTCTCATTTTTCTTTCTTTTTCCTTTTCCTTTTCTTTCTTTCTTTTAATTACATTCTCCTTTCTCTTTTCCTTCTTTCTTTCTTTCTTTTTAATTACATTCTCCTTTCTCTTTCTTTCTCATTTTCCTTCTTTCCTTCCTTTTCTTTTTTTTAATTTTCTCCTTTCTTTTTTCTTTTTTTTTCCTTCCTTCTTTCTTTTTCTTTTAATTACATTCTTCTTTTCTCTCATTCTTTCTTTCTCATTTTTCCTTCTTTCCTTCCTTCTTTCTTTCTTTTTTCCGTTCTTTTAATTACATTCTCCTTTCTCTCATTCTTTCTTTCTCATTTTCCTTCTTTCTTTCTTTTTTTCTTTCTTTTAATTACATTGTCCTTTCTCTCATTCTTTCTTTCTCATTTTCCTTCTTTCTTTCTTTCTTTTAATTACATTCTCCTTTCTCTCATTCTTTCTTTCTCATTTTCCTTCTTTCCTTCCTTCTTTTTTCTTTCTTTAATTCATTCTCCTTTCTCTCATTTTTCTTTCTCTTTCCTTCCTTCCTTCTTTCTTTTAATTACATTCTCCTTTCTCTCATTCTTTCTTTCTCATTTCCTTCTTTCCTTCCTTCTTTCTTTCTTTTTAATTACATTCTTTTTCTCTCATTCTTTCTTTTCTCATTTTCCTTCTTTATTCCCTTTTTCTTTCTTTTAATTACATTCTCCTTTCTCTCATTCTTTCTTTCTCATTTTTTCTTTCCTTCCTTCTTTCTTTCTTTTATTTTCTCCTTTCTCTCATTCTTTCTTTCTAATTTTCCTTCTTTCCTTTTCTTTCTTTTATTAATTTCCTTTCTCTCATTTCTCTCATTCTTTCTTTCTTTCTTTTTCCTTCTTTTCTTCCTTTTTCTTTCTTTTTAATTTTTTCTCCTTTCTCTTCATTCTTTCTTTCTAATTTTCCTTCTTTCCTTCCTTCTTTTTTTTCTTTTTTAATTACATTCTCCTTTCTCTCATTCTTTCTTTCTCATTTTCCTTCTTTCCCTCCTTCTTTTTCTTTCTTTTAATTACATTCTCCTTTCTCTTCTTCTTTCTCTCCTTTCTTTCTTTTAATTACATTCTCCTTTTCTCCTTCTTTCCTTTTTCCTTCTTTCCTTTCTTTCTTTTCTTTTTAATTACATTCTCCTTTCTCTCATTCTTTCTTTTTCATTTTCCTTCTTTCCTTCCTTCTTTCTTTCTTTCTTTTAATTACATTCTTCTTTTCTCTCATTCTTTCTTTCTCATTTTCCTTCTTTCTTTCTTTCTTTTAATTACATTCTCCTTTCTCTCATTCTTTCTTTCTCATTTTCCTTCTTTCCTTCCTTCTTTCTTTCTTTTAATTACATTCTCCTTTCTCTCATTCTTTCTTTCTAATTTTCCTTCTTTCCTTCCTTCTTTCTTTCTTTTAATTACATTCTCCTTTCTCTCATTCTTTCTTTCATTTTTTCTTTTTTTTTTTATTACATTCTCCTTTCTCTCTTCTTTCTTTCTAATTTTCCTTTCCTTTTTCTTTCTTTTAATTACATTCCTCCTTTCTCTCATTCTTTCTTTCTAATTTTCCTTCTTTCCTTCCTTCTTTCTTTCTTTTAATTACATTCTCCTTTCTCTCATTCTTTCTTTCTAATTTTCCTTTTTTTCCTTCTTTTCTTTCTTTTTAATTACATTCTTCTTTTAATCTATTCTTTCTTTCTCATTTCCTTCTTTCCTTCCTTCTTTCTTTCTTTTAATTTTCCTTCATTCTTTCTTTCTCATTTTCCTTCTTTCCTTCCTTCTTTCTTTCTTTTAATTAATTCTCCTTTCTCTCATTCTTTCTTTCTAATTTTCTTCTTTCTTTCTTTCTTTTAATTACATTCTTTTTCTCATTCTTTCTTTCTAATTTTTTCCTTCTTTCCTTCCTTTCTTTCTTTCTTTTAATTACATTCTCCTTTCTCTCTTTCTTTCTTTCTTTTTTTTAATTACTTTCTCATTTTTCTTTCTTTTCCTTCTTTCTTTCTTTTTTTTTCTTTTTTAATTACATTGTCCTTTCTCTCATTCTTTCTTTCTTTTTCCTTCTTTCTTTCTTTTCTTTTAATTACATTTCCTTTCTCTCATTTTTCCTCATTTTCCTTCTTTCCTTCCTTCTTTTTTTTTTTAGTACATTCTCTTTCTCTTTTCTTTCTCATTTCCTTCTTTCCTTCCTTCTTTCTTTCTTTTAATTACATTCTCCTTTCTCTCATTTTTTTCCTTTTCCTTTTTTCCTTCCTTCTTTCTTTTTTAATTACATTCTTCTTTCTCTCATTCTTTCTTTTCTCATTTTCCTTCTTTCTTCTTTCTCTTTCTTTCTTTTATTCTTTCTTTTCTCTCATTCTTTTTTCTTTTTCCTTCTTTCCTTCCTTCTTTCTTTCTTTTTTTTAATTACATTCTCCTTTTTTCTAATTCCTTCTTTCCTTCATTTTTTCTTTTAATTACACTTTCCTCATTCTTTCTTTCTTTTTCTTTTTCTTTTTACATTCTCCTTTCTCTCATTCTTTCTTTTCTAATTTTCCTTCTTTCCTTCATTCTTTCTTTTCTTTTAATTACATTCTCCTTTTCTCATTCTTTCTTTCTTCTTTCCTTCCTTCTTTCTTTCTTTTAATTACATTCTCCTTTCTCTCATTCTTTCTTTCTCATTTTCCTTTTTTTCCTTCCTTCTTTCTTTCTTTTTTACATTCTTCTTTCTCTCATTCTTTCTTTCTCTTTTCCTTCTTTCTTTTCTTTCTTTCTTTTTAATTACATTCTCCTTTCTCTCATTCTTTCTTTTCTCATTTTCCTTTCCTTTCCTTTTTTTCTTTCTTTTTAATTACATTCTCCTTTTTCTTTCTCATTCTTTCTTTCTTTCCTTTTAATTTTCCTTCTTTCCTTCTTTCCTTTTTCCTCTTTTCCTTCTTTCTTTCTTTCTTTCTTTTAATTATATTCTTCTTTCTATCTTTCTTTCTTTCTTTTTTCCGTTCTTTTAATTACATTCTCCTTTCTCTCATTCTTTCTTTCTCATTTTCCTTCTTTCCTTCCTTCTTTCTTTATTTTAATTATATTCTTACTTTTTTCATTCTTTTCTATTTCTGTTCTTAATTTTAATTAAATTTTTCTTTCTCTCATTCCTTCTTTCTTTCTTTCTTTCTTTCTTATTTCCGTTATTTTTTTTAATTATATTCTTTCTTTTTTTCTTTCTTTCTTTCTTCCGTTCTTTCTTTTTATTACATTCTTCTTTCTCTCTTTCTTTCTGTGTTTCTTTCTTTCTCTCTTTCTTTTAATTACATTCTTCTTTCTGTAATTCTTTCCTTCTCATTTTCTTTCTTTCTTTCTCTCTTTCTTTCTGTGTTTCTCTTCTTTCTTTCTTTCTTTTAATTACATTCTTCTTTCTGTAATTCTTTCCTTCTCATTTTCTTTCTTTCTCTCTTTCTTTTAATTTTTCTTCTTTCTTTCTTTCTTTCTTTCTTTTAATTACATTCTTCTTTCTGTAAGTCTTTCCTTCTCATTTTCTTTCTTTCTTTCTCTCTTTCTTTCTGTGTTTCTTTCTTTCTTTTTACTATACACTTCATATCTGGTTACACACTCCTTTCTTAAGTCCATAAAAAATCATTTCGTCCACATTTTTTATGCATTACTCAAAAATGAATAACGTCGAAATCATGAGTCCGGAAACATTCATGAATTCAGTTTTGTTATTCTTTTCCTCCCAGTAAAACCTTCAGAACTCCATTAATCTCATTTCTAAAAGGGCCTGAATGAATACACTTTGAGGTGTAAATGGTTACCCACAGCAAATCTGATTCTTTTTTCATTCGAACCTGATAACACCGTTGATGATGTTATCAGCTCCATTCGTGAGATGACATCCCAGCTTTTCCTTTCATTCATGTCTGCATAAATAAAAGCTGAGACTTTGTTCTCAATAGACATTTATTATCTGGTACCAGAGCACCAAGCGTTGGAGGTAATTAGAAGACTTTCAGTACACTAGGTTCCTATCTCCCAAGCAGCACCTCCCCCTTTACTCTAACATGTGCCCAATTAAAAAAAATGAACTTACTACAACTTTTCTGCAACATTACATCTCCATCTTTTAAGTGCTGGGTCTCTTCAGAACGTTGGCGATCATGGCTCTCCACAATTTCCTGCCCTTTCTAGCTCTTAATAACTTTTGTCTTTTTGCTATTTTTTCTAAACCTTGTTTCACCATCCATTTACTCAAGCTCATTCTTCCACTTATTCTATGTGCCTTGTCCCTTCAGGACGTTAGCGATCATGGCTCTCCACAATTTCCTGCCCTTTGTAGCACTTACTAAATTTTCTTTTTTTGTTATCTCTCCTAAACCTTGTTCCGCCATCCATTTACTGAAGCTCGTTCATCGACTTTTTCTATGTGTCATGCCTCTTCAGGACGTTGGCGATCATGGCTCTCCACAACTTCTTGCCCATAATAATAATAAAGAAAAAATAAAAATAAATAAGAAATTTTATTCAGTAATAGAGTAAAGCAGGAAATTCGAAAAGGAATTCCAAGTGGGTGAACAAGTGAAAATAGATCATAATACACCTAAGGCAGCGATAACCTAAAAAAGAAAACAAAATCAAATGCAATGGACCAGATGCAGAAACGATTGCAAGATAAGCATCTTCATTGTCAATAATTTGCCCGTACCAAAAAGAAGCTGTTGTAATCAAACCCCATCAGTGTTTACAAGGAGGCAGTTGAAATTTATAGGGTACTAGCAGTAGAGCTCGGCGTTGCCCGGGGATGTAACAGTAAGAGATAGATCAAGTATTGACCATCATAAAGACTGAAAAATAAAATTGACAAAGATTATTGTTTAAGGTTAACGGACACGCATGTCATAATTAGTTTTTTTTTCTTTTGTTTTTTTTTTACGAATTAGTCAAACTCAAACAAAACATTGTTTTCAATCGTTATGAGTCTATCGATTCAATAGAATTTTATTATAAACAATTGTCTTGTAAATGGTATTTTTAAAGCATTCTGAATGTAAAAATAAAGAAAAAAATGTGCAAGACAATAAGAAACACTACCTGCTAAAAAAAGGTGAAGTTTTGTTGAAATCGGTTGAAAAATGTAGGAAATCCGATCCCATATTTAAACGAACACACACACACACACACACACACACACACACACACACACACACACACACAAACAACCTGGGTTTTATAATAAGTATAACTCGATATGAGTTGTCCCCCTTTCATTCTGGTGACAGAATCGTGTTTTCAAATTGATTTCGTGCAAAAACAATTGTGTTTTTCCAATTTTTGGCGCTGTCAGAACCTCCGCAAGGTAATTTTACGTAGTCCTGTGAAGTTTTGTTGAAATCGGTTGAAAAATGTAGGAAATCAGACACACACACACACAATCTGCGTTTTATAATAAGTAAGATGTAATAAGAAAAGAGAGACTTATAAAATTGTAAACTAGTTACTGTGAAAGAGAACGCAAAACACTAGCCGGAGATTTGAACTCAACTCATTGAATCCTGTCTTCGCTCCAATGATCATTGAGCTATGCTCACAGCTCATCAAAAATTTAAATCCAGCATCAATCGCCATCTTGTCTTTATGACAGCTGTTGCTTTATTGTCCTACCGCCACAAAAATGTTTTCTTATTTTCTCATACACTCACTAACTCACTTGCGTCTCAGTGGCATTATCGCCTTGCTTGGAGTGAAATGATTAAAAATATATTTCATTTGATATTATAAACACAGATTTTACGAAGGCGCCGCTTACAGAAGACATCAAATTGGCGAATATAACTCAAGGAGGAGACCCAAAATTCAGAGACATAAATGTTGAAATTACTACAGGTCGCTATACATTAATTGACTGACTAATTTCTCTTTTCTTTACGACTTGTGAACCATTTACATGTTATTTAAAGCCAGAAAATATTTTTAGAATGGGAGAATTTATTAGAGACAATAATGATTAACTAATGCAAAAAAACATTGTGATAAACATGTCAACAAAGATGAGGATTATAGTCCGCGCAATGTAAATAGTGTACATAAAACCTCATCTCAGAAATATTGACAGATACTGACGCAAGTCTTAATAATTAATCTATAGCTGGGGGAGAAGTGTTGGATTCATACCTTTACCAAGTATATTAGTGTGTAAATGAATATAACGATTCGACTGGAACTGACACACGACCCTCCAATTTCTAATTCCGAGCCGTTATCCATTACACCCACCACACATCCACCCTTACTGCAGCTGGTATTAGCAAAAGGTCACCCACCTAGTTACTGACCAAGTTCGGAGTTACTTAACTTTGGTAATCGTACTCGCTATACATTAACCTTTCTTTTTAAGAGTTAAGCTATATATACACACACGAAAACATATTTTGACTTTATAAAGGCTTTCTTTTTTTGTTAACTAGAATTTCTTGCCAAACAGAATGGAAAATTAGCCATCACGACCAAGATGTCCATTTTAATTCCATTTAAACTCTGCAAGTATGTATGTTTTCGTGTGTATATATATATATATATATCTTAACTCTATGTTATACCTAAAGATATTTCTAAAAAAAACGAAAAAAAAAACTTTTATTTATTAACGTAAAATTTCCAAAAAGTTATAAAATATATAATTTTAGAATTATTTGACATTTTAGGATTTAAAAAATTAACTTTATAGTTTTATTGTTCAGCCCAGTGTAGAAGTTGTACAGACTGATTATATTATTTCTGTATCTATTTTACCATTATCATCATCAGGTCGAACAACCTCGGTATTCCATGGCACGCTGCTTCCATCTATTCATGTCGTTCATTGCATTTGGAAGCTCATCCAATCTGCATTCCGTTTTTTCAATCAGATGGTCAATGTACATCTTCTTTGGTTGACCTTTTTTTCTTATTCTACGGAATGGTATCCAGAGTAGAACGTCATCATCTAGTTCTTCTTTGCTACGCCAAAAATGACCAACAAATCTGAACCTTTATTTGTTGGGTGATCTTTCCAGGATTTGTTTAGAGATCCTCGAAGCACTCGTTTGTAAGGATCATCTAATCTCTTTTCTAGTTTGTCTGTTACTGTTTAGGTTAAGGAGCCATAGTGCTGATAGCAGACACGGAAAGGTCTTCTAAATTCACAGCTGAATTAGCTAGATGTAACCGTAAGTTCTATGCTAACAGTTTCTTCTATTGCACTCCTCACTTGCGGAAGTCTCTTTCGGCTTCTTGCTTTCAAGTCAGCTTTGATCTTTAAAAATTTAAATGCAATGTCAATCATTATATTCTGTCTTCTTAATTCTTCTTCTTATATATTCCTCTCTCCTTACTAAAGTTTTCTTTTTTCTCATATTCTCTCACACTCAGTAACCCCCATTTGTCTTAGTGGCTTTATTGCCTTGCTTGGAATCATCAAGTCGAGCATGACACGCTGCTTCCATTCATTCGTGTTGTTCATTGTATTTGGAAGCTCATCCAATCTGCATTCCGTTTCTTCAATCAGATGCTTAATGTACACCTTCTTTGGTCGACATTTTGTCCTTTTTCTACGGAATGGTACCCAGAGTAGAACGTCATCAGCTAGAATTTCTTTGCTACGCCAACATCGACCAACAAATCTTAGTCTTTATTTGCCTTTTGATATGCTGATTGGAGGTATGTTGCCATAGAGCTCTTTCTTTGATGGGTGATCTTTCCAGGATTTGTTCCGTGCTGCTCAAAACTTGCAGTAATATGATTAAAAATATACACATAGAACGGAGAAGCTCGGGCCCTGGCTCTAGATATCTCTAAAGCGTTTCACGGGGTGGGGGGTATGGCATGCCGGCCTTCTACGTAAGATTCAGGGATACGGCATTAGAGGACGATTATTTGACTTAATACACTAATTCTTTCCAGTCAAATTTCATCTTCAAACATTTAAATGCAATATCAATCATTATTTTCTGTCTTCTTAATTCTTGTTCTTTTATTGTTCTCTCTCCTTAAAAATGTTTTCTTTTTCTCATATTCTCTTACACTTAATAACCAAGCAAGCTCGGCATTCCATGACACGCTGCTTCCATCCATTCGTGTCGTTCAATTGCATTTCGAAGCTCATCTCGTCTGCATTCCATTTCTTCGATCAGGTGGTCAATGTACATCTTCTTTGGTCGACATTTTGTTCTTTTTCCACTGAATGGTATCCAGAGTAGAACGTCATCATCTAGTTCTTCTTTGCTACGCCAACAATGACCAACAAGTTTATTTTCCCATTAATATACTGATTGGAGGTATGTTGCTATATAGCCCTTTCTTTGTTGGGTGATCTTTCAAGGATTTGTTTATTGCTGCTCGAAGCACTCGTTTCTAAGCACCACCTAACCTCTTTTCTAGTTTGTCGGTTAGTGTTCAGGTTAAGGAGCCATAGTGCTGACAGCAGACTCTACAAAAGGAAACTCCAAAACCTCCCACAGAAGGTAGCAAAGAAGAGCAAGAAGAAGGGACTATGCACAAACTACAAGATAACTGAGTGCATGATCATCAGCAAAAAGATGAGCCCGAAATGCGATTTACAGGAGCGGAAATTTAAAGACGTGTAAAGTGTTTTGACAGAGGACGGTAAGGGCGACGTTGAGATCCGAAGACGTATTGGAATGGCCAAAGAAGCATTCCAAAAACCAGGCAGTGTATTACGAGACGGGGATTTCTCTGGTAACAAAGAAAAGTGTATTGAACTACTACGTGATATTTATCCTCTTTTAGGCAGTGAATGTTGAAAGGTCTCCTCAAAGATGAAGAAGAGATTCGAGGCAACGGATGTATGGTTCTACATAAGGATGCTAATGATATCATGGACCGTACATGTGAGCAATGATGAAGTTTCTGAGAGGTTGCAAACAAAGAGGAGGCTTATATTTAACATCAGGAAGAGGCAGCTGAAAATTCTGGGACAGCTAATGAGAAAGGAGTGCTTGGAGAATCTGATACCGCCAAGGCGGATAGAGGGGAAAAAGGGACAAGGGAAAGCAATGCGTGATATACACAGAGGGCTTAAGCTAGTGAGTGGCAGAAAAGAGTCTGGGAGAAGTAGCAAAAAGACAAAACTTATTGAGAACTACAATGGATAGGAGGAAGTGGAGAGCCATGATCGTCTACGTCCTGAAAGGACACGGCACATATAAGAAGAAGCTCAAGGATAATTGAGAGTAGGCAACAAATATGAATGTAGCAATTAAATAAGTATGATGAAAAAAAAAGAATGAAAAACAGAAGGAAAAAGAAAGAAACAATAAAAGAAAGAAAGAAGGAAGGAAAGAAAGAAAGAAAGAAAGAAAAGGAAAGGAAGAGCGACAGACAGAAAGCAAACATGTATGGTGAAAGAAAGAAAGAAAAATTGAGAAAAGAAAGAAGGAAAATAAAAAGAAAAGAAGAACGAAAAGAAGCAAGCATGATCAAAGAAAGAAAGACGCAAATCAAACAAGCGTGATTAAAGAAAGAAAGAAAGAAAGAAAGAAAGAGAATGAAGGAAATAAAGAAGGAAACATCTGAAGGAAAGACAGAAAGAAAGAAGAAAAGAACAAAGTAAGAGAGCTTAAGCAAGTGAATGACCGAATAGGGTCTGGCAGAAGTAGCAAAAAGACAAAACTTATTGAGAACTACAAGGTATAGGATGAAGTGGAGAGCCATGATCGCCTACGTACTGAAAGGACACAACACATGAAAGAAGAAGAAAATATAAGGATGTACTCTATTGTAGCTCTGCAAAAGTTCCTCTTCAGTTTGTCTGGTAGATGTAATTTCCAAATTTTGTTCAATTCATTGAGCGCTCACCAGGCCTTTCTCAGTCTGATGTTGACATCATTCTCAGTGGAGGCAATATGGCTACCCAGGCATTTGAAGGAGTCTATTTGGTTGATGTTTTATAATACGGTTAGGTGGGTTACTGTCACTTTCTGGTTTTATACTTAACATCTACTCTAAAACATCCTTGTGCCTCACATAGAATTTTCAGCATCCTTCTGTAGAACTACATTTCCGTTGTATCACGTCACTTCTCGCTTGATCAATTTATTATTATTATTATTATTGTTGTTGTTGTTGCTGTTGTTGTTGGTGGGGGTGGTGTCGTGTGGCATTATTATTAATATGATTGGCTTTTATTTTCATTATTGGACATTATTATCGTTGTTAATATTGGACATCATTATTATTAGACACCTTTATTATGGGCATTTATTTTATTATTACGCATTATTGTTATTATTATTATTATTATTGATCATTATATCAATAATAATAATTATAATTATTAATATTATTATTATTAATATTATTATTATTGGTCATTATTATTGTTATTTTATTTCCTTTGATTTCTGGTTTGTACTCATTTCTTCCAGGTCCCAACCAGAGACCTAAGGTCAGAAATTGCTTCATACCATTTTCAACTGAGCAATTAAAAAAACCCCCAAAAAACACGCATATTTTACATAGATAAAGCCCTTCGTAAGGTGTGGTCTGTACTCGTGAGAACAATTTTTTTTTGTATTTCTTTAGGTCATAGTCTACCAGGAATCCCTTCAATGTGTTCATCGGAACATTTTTCAATGAATCCGAGGTCTTCAACTTACAAATGGAATTGTTGGGGTCCTCATGTGTCACATTTTTGAGATTTCGATTTCAAGGTCCTTGAATATTGATAGTTTTTTTTTTAAGATTTTCAAAGCTACAATACAATCTGTCATGTCAATAAGAAGGAAAATTTTGTTTTTGAGGTCTCTGATTACGATCTCTGGCATATTAGCTTTGACTGTTCTGTATGTGTGTATTAAAAAGGCCCATAAAACTCTTACAAGTCCTATCTTTGTTAGCAGGTTCGGGTGATGTTCATAACAATTTCTTTGTTTCCTTTCCGTAAAATTTACAAATTTTCCAATGCAGTTATTGGTCCACATTTTTTTGCTGTTTTTATTATTATTATTTTTATTTTCTTTGATTTCTGGCGTTTACACATTTCTTTCCGGGTCCCGCCCAGGGACCTAAGGTTAGAAATGGCATCATGACACTTTCCACTGACAGAAAAAAAAGAAAATTACATAGATAAAGCCCTTAAAGTGTGGGCTGTACTTGTCAGAACAATTTTTTGTATCTCCTTGAGGCATGGACTTCCAGGAATCCCTTCAATTAGTCTCCTGCAAACTTTTCCAACCAGTCCTAGGGCTCCAACTACAACAGGGATTGTTGATGTTCCCATATGCCACATTTTCGAGATTTCTATTTCAAGGTCCTTGTACTTTGACAACTTTTTGAATATCTTCAAAGATACATTGCAGTCAGCAAGGACTGCCATATCAATAAGGAGGCACCGTTTTTGTTTGTGGTCTTTAATAACAATATCTGGCCGGTTGGCCTTGATTGTTCTGTCAGTGTGTATTGTGTAATACCATAGAATTGTAACAGGTCCTATCTCCGTAACCGGGTCTGGGTGGTGTTCATACCAGTTTCTTTCAGTTTTCTTCCCGTAGAAGTTGCAGATTTTCCAGTGCAGATATTGGCCCATTATTATTATTATTATTATTATTATTATTATTATTATTATTATTATTATTATTATCATCAAAAATTGGATATTACCTAAAGTACTGGTTCCGCTTTTCTCTGTTACTGTCGCAAGGAAGTAGAATTGATAGTATTTTATGGTTTATTTTTGTTTTTTTCCTTTTCTTCGCTGGGAAACCAATTTGCCCATCGCTTTTGGCCATGTAGGAATAAGCGAGGCGGATACGCCAGGACAGAGAGAGTAAGAGAGAGAGAGAGAGAAAGAGAAGGAAAAAACAGAGAATGAAAGAAAGAAAGAAAGAAAGAAAGAGAGAGAGAAGGAGGGGGAAAGAAACAAGAAACAAAAAGCCTCGTTTTCGCATCGCTTATCTGAAAGCTATGCATATCCCCGCCACCGCTTCGTCAAACAAGGCCGCGAGAATTAACAAAGGTCGAAGATTACTTTTCAATGATTATTGGCGATAAGAAATTTATCTCCCCACCCACTTTTCGCTTTTATTTTCATCCATTCTTTATATTTTTTTTACCCACTGTTTATCTTAGTTTTCTTCTCATTGGCCCTCCTTTCTTTCGCTGACTGCCGATGTCTCAAAAAAAAACAAAAAAAAAAAAACCCGAAGAATTCGGGTCTAATTTTGATGCTATTTTTCATCTTGCTTGTGAAATTTTTCCTTGCTTTCGAGCTAATTTATACATTATTTTTTAATACCTTTTTTTTTTCTAATTCCATGCCTTCCTGAAAGGGGAGCATACTTATAAGTTAACCTGCAGGAATAATCGACATCCTTCCGCTTTAGAAGAATGCGCGTCTATAAAAGCGAACACGTACAGAAATTTAAATATCTTGAAAATGTCATAAAGAGGAATAAAAAGGTGACACCGAAATCCAAAGTCGAATTGGAATAAAGGAAGAGGCTTTCGAAAACCTATGCAAAGTATTAAGAGACTTTTATATTTTACCATTTCATCCCAAGCAAGGTGATAACGCCACTAAAACGTAAGAGGGTAGTGGGAGTGAAAGAGAATGGGAAGATTTTAGAAGGAACCGGAAACCCAATCCTTAACAAACCGGGCAAAACTAATTTCCATCACCTGATATGATATATGAAAAGAACCGTTTGTTTGGAGGATGTATTCTCTTTTTTTTAAATCAATTCAAGAAGGCGCCAATGCCATTAAGACTTAAGGGGTTACTGAAAGTGAAAGAGAATGAGAAGACTTTAGTGAGAAGAAAGGACAATAAAAGAACAGGTTTCAGGAAGACAGAAGATGGCTATAATGCCACTAAGACGCAAGTGATTACTGGGAGTGAAAGAGAATGAGAAGGCTTTAGTGAGGAGAAAAGACAATAAAAGAACAGGTTTCAGGAAGACAGAAGATGGCTATAATGCCACTAAGACGCAAGGGGTTACGGGGAGTGAAACAAAATGAGAAGACTTTAGTGAGGAGAAAGGACAATAAAAAAAAACAGGTTTCAGGAAGACAGAAGATGATGATAATGTCACTAAAACCCAAGGGGTTTCTGGGAGCAAAAGAGAATGAGAAGACTTTAGTGAGGAGAAAGTACAATAAAAGAACAGGTTTCGAGAAAACACAAGATATCGATTGATTTTGCATTCAAACTTTTGAATATCGTAGATGTCAGCGAAGGAAGAAAACGGAAGAGATTTACTCAGAAGTGTGAAAAAAGAAACTATTAGAATAGGACGCACAGCTATTTCAACAGTAAAAGTCGAGACCTAACTGCCAATCTAGTATTATATTTAAATTCAGGTGGTCGAGGTACCAAGAGGAGAGCAATATTTATACAAAAATGTGGCACAAGGTCAAAAGAGGGAGTAGCAGAAGGCTGATCTTCAATTTTCTTATCTGAAACTCAGCTAGCCACAGTTACTAAGGCAGACCTACAAGAGGATTGCTTACACACAAACAACACATTCTTTCTAATCATTCTTACTACAGCTGTCATAATGCCTCAAAGTTTTTGTGAAGTCGTAACTCTATCGCAATTTGTCTGTAGGAGACAGGAAATAAAAATAACAACTATTTAAAATAAAACCTCAATGAATATATACAATTATTATAATTTTATTTAGAAAGAGGAGAGCTTATTAGAACAAATGGCATGAAAATATTTATAGATAAGACGGAGTAACGTCACGTTAAATCGGTGGGATAGTGAACGAAGTCGCGATGTCAGGTCACGAAGAATAATATTACAGACTCTACTTTATATATATATATATATATATATATATTAAATAAATGGACAAAGTCCGACAATTATTTTAAGACATTTTTCTCTTTATACATTCTTTTTATAGATACAAATATTTAAGTAAATGCTCTGTTTTATAATAAACAGTATTAATAACATTTACCGGCCTGAATGTCCGAGAAATTTTCATAGAAGATATCCGTCCTCCGATAGGAATCGAACATGAATCCTATACGGATCCGTCATATAGCCTGGCGTTTGTTAACCGATCGAGCCATGGAGGATTGTTCGATTAGCAAGGTCGATTTTTGAGCAGATATTAATGTACGTAAGAGATTCATGGAAGATTGAAGTTGAAAAGCAATAAAATCGAACTTGCTAATCGAACAATCCTCCGTGGCTCGATCGGTTAACGAATACCAGGCTATATGACGGATCCGTATAGGATACAGGCTCGATTCCTGTTGGAGGACGGATATTTTCTACGAAAGTTTTTTGGACATTCAGGCTGGTAAATCTTATTAATACTGTTTATTATAAAACAGAACATTCACTTAAATATTTGTATCTATAAAAAGAATGTATAAAAATGTCTTTATATATATATATATATATATATATATATATATATATATATATCCACAAAATCCGATGATCGAACGAATGTTAGATTTAGAAACGTGCAAAATGGATTCTAGTGCGAGAAATGGTTTCGCACGACAGTGAAGCAAACTTAGCAACAGATTGCAATTGATTCAATACAATTGCTCTGAAATGTTTTATTGAAAAAGGAGAGACCAGATTAGGCGCAATGAAGTTCTCTTCTGAGATTGGCAATTCCTGGCTTTCAAAACACTCATCATCTAACAAGTTATCATCAAGCAACACCATCAAGACAATTTTTCATCCAAGAAATCTTCAACAAAATTTTCATCAGACAAACTTTTCACCGAACGGATTTAATGAAAATTTTTCGTACAGCGGCTTTTCCTCCAGCAACATTTCATTAAAGGACTTCATCAGAGCGATTTTTCGTTAAACGGCCTTTCCTTCAGCAACTTTTCATCAAAGGACTTCATCAAAGCAACTTTTTGTTAAGAGGCTTTTCCTTTAGCCATTTTACATTAAAGGACTTCATCAAATCGATTTTCCGTTAAGAGGCCTTTCCTCCAGCAACTTCTCAATAAAGGACTTAATCAAAGCAAATTTACATTAAGAGGCTTTTCCTTCAGCAATTTTTCATTAAAAGAATTCATCAAAGCGATTTTTCGTTAAGAGGCCTTTCCTTCAGCAACTTTTCATTAAAAGACTTCATCAAAGCAACTTTTTATTAACAGGCTTTTCCTTCAGCCATTTTTCATTAAAGGACTTCATCAAAGCGATTTTTCGTTAAGCGGTCTTTCCTCCAGCAACTTTTCATTAAAGGACTTCATCAAAGCAACTTTTTATTAAGCGGCCTTTCCTCCAGCAACTTTTCATTAAAGGACTTCATCAAAGCCACTTTTTATTAATCGGCTTTTCCTTTAGCCATTTTTCATTAAAGGACATCATCAAAGCGATTTTTCGTTAAGCGGCCTTTCCTCCAGCAACTTTTCTTTCTAGGACTTCATCAAAGCAACTTTTTATTAAGACTTTCTTAAAGCTACTTTTCGTTACCCAGCATTTCCTCCGGCAACTTTTCTGCAATGACTTCATCAAATCGACTTTTCTTTAAGCGGCTTTTCCTCCAGAAACATTTCATTAAAGGACTTCATCAAAGCAACTTTTCGTTAAGCTGCTTTTCCTCCAGCAATTTTTCATTAAAGGATTTCATTAAAGCGACTTTTCATTAAGCGGCTTTTCATCTAGCAACTATTCATTAAAAAAACTTCACGAAAGTGACTTTTAATTGTGCTGCTTTTCATGCAAAAACTTTTCATCGAAAGACATCATCAAAACTTTTTGTTAAGCGACGTTTCCTCCAACAAATATTCCTTTTAATCCAATAACTTTTTTTTATTAAAGAAATTCATCAAATCGACTTTTTGTTAATCGGCTTTTCGTGCGACAACTTAAAAGTGATCGTTTGTCTTTTCAATCCCGATATGAAATGGAATTCACATCCATAGTTCGAGAGGAAACAGGAATTAAAAGTTAACTGCAAGGAAAAATTACGTGAAGGGGCCAACCTAAAATTTAGCATGCCAAAAATACCTAATACAGAGTTCACAGTTTTCGATGTATATGTCAAGCTATGTCACCGGACAGAGGTCAAAGAAAGTGCAACAAAGTGCAGAATATAAATTTAAATGAATTCATCTAAGCGACTTTTCTTTAAGTGGTTTTTCATCCAACAAATATTCTCTAAATGAATTCAGGAAAGCGACTTTTCATTAAGCTGCTTTATCGCCAGAAACTTTTCATTAAGGGACTTCGTCAAGCGACTTTTCGTTAAGCGGCTTTTCATCCAAAAACCTTTCATCAAAAGACTTGGTCTAAGTGACTTATCTTTAAGCAGCTTTTCCTGCAATAACTTTTCATCAAAGATCTCCATCAAAGCGAATTTTCTTCATCATTATTTCATCGTTTTTTTTTTCTGTATATGGATTTACATGTCACAAATTTTCTTCAATACGAACCTACATCGAATCGACATTTCATCGAACGACTTTTCATCAAATAACTTGACATCTCACGACTTTTCATTAATTTTTTTTTTTAATCAAGCAAGATTCATAAAACTGTTTTCATCAATTAAATTCCCATCAAAACGGCTTTATATTGAACTTATTTGCATGAAAATGTCGTTAGCCAAAATGATTTTCATTAAATCGCTTTTGCCACAATTGATTCTTCATCGCACGTCGTTTCATCAAACGATGAACTCAAAAGTTTTTTCATCGAAGAACTTTTAATGAAAAGATTTTCCCATTAACAGCTTCTCGCAGGAATGCTCTTGATTTAAAACGTCTTCCTCAAACGATGTTTCATTGAACTATTTTTCCTTTATATGAATTTTCATGAAACAACTTTTCATTAAAACGGACTTTCACCAAATCGACTTTTCACCGAATCAATTTTCATTTGATTTTCTTTTTTACAGAATGAGGTTTCATTTATCTAATTTGAATCAAATAAATTACCATCGGGGCGACTGTTAATCGA